GTTATGGTGTATTATTAGTGGTGTACAAGCTATTGTGAGGCAGTAGTGGGGTACAAATTGTGGAAAGATAGTATTCGTGTGCTGGTTGTGGTGTGGTAGTAGTGGGATACTAGTTGCGATGTGGTAGTAGTGGTGTTCTAGTTGTACTGTGGTAGTAGTAGTGAACTAGTTGTGGAGTGGTTGTAGTAGTGTACTAGTTGTTGTGTGGTAAAAGTGGAGGTACTAGATGAGGTGTGGTAGTAGAGGCATATTAGTTGTGGTATAATAAGAGTCGTGTACTAGTTGTGATGTGTTAGTAGTAGCATGCTAGTTGTGGTGTTGTAGAACTGGTGGTGTACTGGTTGTGGTGTGGTAGTAGTGGTATACTAGTTGTAATGTATTAGTTTAGGTGTGGTAATAGTAGTGGTGTACTAGTTGTGGTGTGGAAGTAGTAGTGGTATACTAGTTGTGGTGTGGTAGTAGTGGTGTACTAGTGCTGGTGTACTAGTTGTGGTGTGGTAGTGGTGGTGTACTGGTGCTGGTGTACTAGTTGTGGTGTGGTAGTGGTAGTAAACAAGTTGTGGTGTGGTACTAGTGGTGTACTTGGTGTGATGTTGTGGTAGTGGTGTATAAGTTGTGGTGTGGTAGTAGTAGTGTACTGCCTGTGGTATACAAGTAATGGGGAACTAGTTGTGGTGTTGTAGTAGTTGTGTACTTGTTATGGTGTTCTAGTTGTTGTGTGGTAGTGATGGTGTACTAGTTGTGGTGTGATAGTAGAACGTTACTAATTGTGATACGGTAATAGTGGTGACTAGTTGTACTCACCTAATTGTACTCACCTAATTGTGCTTGCGGGGGTTGAGCTTTGGCTCTTTGGTCCCGCCTCTCAACTGTCAATCAACTGGTGTACAGATTCCTGAGCCTACTGGGCTCTATCATATCTACATTTGAAACTGTGTATGGAGTCAGCCTCCACCACATCACTTCCTAGTGCATTCCATTTATTAACTACTCTGACACTGAAAAAATTCTTTCTAACGTCTCTGTGGCTCATCTGGGTACTAAGTTTCCACCTGTGTCCCCTTGTTCGTGTCCCACCCGTGCTGAAGAGTTTGTCTTTGTCCACCCTGTCAATTCCCCTGAGAATTTTGTAGGTGGTTATCATGTCTCCCCTTACTCTTCTGTTTTCCAGGGATGTGAGGTTCAGCTCCTTTAGCCTTTCCTCGTAGCTCAATCCTCTCAGTTCCGGGACGAGCCTGGTGGCATACCGCTGAATCTTCTCTAACTTTGTCTTGTGTTTAACTAGGTATGGACTCCAGGCTGGAGCTGCATACTCCAGGATTGGTCTTACATAAGTGGTATACAGGGTTCTGAAAGATTCCTTACACAAGTTTCTGAAGGCAGTTCTTATGTTGGCCAGTCTAGCATATGCCGCTGATGATATTCTTTTGATGTGGGCCTCTGGGGACAGGTTCGGTGTGATATCAACCCCCAGATCCTTCTCTCTATTTGATTCTTGCAGGATTTCCCCTCCCAGATGATACCTTGTGTTCAGCCTCCTGCTCCCTTCGCCTAATTTCATCACCTTACACTTTCCAGAGTTGAACTTCAGCAGCCATTTTCTAGACCATTCCTCCAGTTTATCCAGGTCATCCTGTAGTCTCTGTCTATCTTCATCCGTCTTGATTCTTCTCATAATAGTTGTGTACTCGTTACTCATAATAGTTGTGTACTCATAGTTGTGTACTCGTACTCATAATAGTTGTGTACTCGTTGTGGTGTGGTAGTGTTAGTGTACTTGTTGTGGTGTTCTAGTTGTTGTGTGGTAGTAATGGTGTACTAGTTGTGGTGTGGTAGTAATGGTGTACTAGTTGTGTTGTGATGTTAGTGGGTTACTAATTGTGATATGATAACATGGGTGTACTAGTTGTGTACTCGTGGTGTGGTAGTGTTAGTGTACTAGTTGTGGTGTTCTAGTTGTTGTGTGGTAGTAATGGTGAGTAGTGGTGAACTAGTTGTGGTATTCTAGTTGTTGTGTGGTAGTAATGGTGTACTAGTTGTGGTGTGATAGTAGTAGGTTACTAATTGTGGTACGGTAATAGTGGTGTACTAGTTGTGTACTCGTTGTGGTGTGGTAGTGTTAGTGTACTAGTTGTAGTGTGATAGTAGTGATGTACTAGTTGTGGTATACTAGTTGTGGTGTGGTAGTATTTGGGTACTAGTTGTGGTGTGGTAGTAGTAGTGTACTAGTTGTGGTGCGGTAGTAGTGGTGTACTAGTTGTGGTGTGGTGTTAGTGATGTACTAGTTGTGGTGTGGTAGTAGTAGTGTACTAGTTGTAGTATACTAGTTGTGATGTGGTAGTAGTGGTGTACTAGTTGTGGTGTACTAGTTATAGTGTGGTAGTAGTTAGGTACTAGTTGTTGTGAGGTAGTAGTGGTGTACTAGTTGAGGTATGGTAGTTTTGGAGTACTAGTTGTGGTGTGCTAGTTGTGGTGTGGTAGTAGTGGTGAACTAGTTGTGGTTTACTAGTTGTTGTGTGGTAGTATTGGTGTACTAGTATTGGCGTACTAGTTGTTATGTAGTAGTTGCGGTGTACAAGTTGTGGTATTCTAGTGATAGTGTGGTAGTAGTGGGGTACTAGTTGTTGTGAGGTAGTAGTGGGGTACTAGTTGTTGTGAAGTAGTAGTAGTGTAATAGTTGGATGCGGTAGTTGTGGTGTACTAGTTGTGGGGTTGTAGCAGTAGGGTACTGGTTATGGTGTGGTAGCAGTGGAGTACTAGTTGTTGTTAGTAGTGGTGTACTAGTTGTGGTGAGGTAGTAGGCAAATCGGGCCTTCGATTTGGAAGGCCCGATTTCCACTACATTTGTCTATATATATATATATATATATATATATATATATATATATATATATATATATATATATATATATATATATTATTGGATTGTAAATACTATGCTATGTATCATCACAAACCCAATGTACCTTCTTGTATATAAATAAATAAATAAATTAATAAAATTACAGTTCTTCTCTTTGTTGTAGCGGCAACTCAGCTGCTTCGCTCTTTTACACAATAACATATGTTCATCATGAACATATAAATTCAGAAGGCGTGTGATCGCATACTGTGAACACCTGTTTCTTGCACAAGTGTGCATACGAGAGTCTCATATAATCAGAGTAGCTAGTTCTTCCGTTAGGACAAGTTGGACGAACAGCGCTGCAACTTCGAATATCCAGAACTCACAAGGTATTATACCGACTTTTCCTTTCTTTTAATCACAGGGGATTACAAATTTACAAAATATTAAACAGCAATTAATTAATGAACATATTCAACACTGGTCTCGCCCTCCAGTAGCACCAGTACACTTACCAGTTGTAACTCTCCACTCAGCCTAAGAGCTGAGAGGACAGCGCTTCGGATTCGTAGTACTGAGGTTCCGGGTTCGATCCCCAGTGCAGCCGAAAACAAATGGGCAGAGGTTACTTCACCCTGATGCCTCCTGCTACCTAGCTGTAAATAGGTACCAGAGAGTTAGACAGCTGGTACGGGCTGTTTGCTGGGGATGTGTAGCAAAATAGGCCTGGTTGAGGACCGGGCCGATGGGACGCTAAGCCCCGAAATCATTTCAAGATAACCTCAAGATAAGAAGAACCCTCACTCCAGTATTATTAGTACACTGGCCTCGCCCTTTTTTAATTATACTACAGAGGTCTCGCACTCATATAGCTTTAGTACACAGATCTCGAACTCTCGTAGCATTAGTACAGTGGTCTCGCACACTCGTAGCATTAGAACACTGGCACTCACTCCTGTAGTATTAGTACAGAAGCCTGACACTCCTGTAGCATTAGTAAACTGGTCTCGCGCTCCTGTAGCAATAGTATACTGGCCTCGCACTTTTATAGCAGTAGTACACTGGCCCCGCACTCTTATAGCCGTAGCACACTGGTCTCGCACTCTTACAGCAGTAGTACACTCGCCTGGCACTCCTATATCATTAATACACTGGCCTTGCACTCCAATAACATTAGAACACTGACCTCGCTCTCTTCAAGCATTAGTTTACAGGCCTTTCACTCTCGTAACATTAGTAAACTTTCCTTGTAGTTTCGTGGCATTAGTACACTGGTCTCGCACTCTTGTAACATTAGTAAACTTGCCTCGCACTGTCTAGCATTCGTTCAATTATCTTGCGTTCCTATAGCATTAGTACTCTGAACGCACTTCTCAGCCTTCTATGCAAGGCCCGATTTGCCTAATAAGCCAAGTTTTCATGAATTAATGCTTTCTCGACTACCTAACCTACCTAACCTAAACTAACGTAACTTTTTCGGCTACCTAACCTAACCTAACCTATAAAGATAGGTTAGGTTAGGTAGGGTTGGTTAGGTTCGGTCATATATCTACGTTAATTTTAACTCCAATAAAATAAAATTGACCTCATACATAATGAAATGGGTAGCTTTATCATTTCATAAGGAAAAAATTAGAGAAAATATATTAATTCAGGAAAACTTGGCTTATTAGGCAAATCGGGCCTTGCATAGTAGCCTGAGAAGTGCGTTCTGGCTACTAGGTACTACATATATATATATATTGTACCTAGTAGGCCGAATGCAGAACTTGGCCTACTATGCAAAGCCCGATTTGCCTGATAAGCCAAGCTTTCCCGAATTTCAATATTTTCACATTTTTTCTTATGAAATTATAAAGCTATTCATTTCATTATATATAAGCAATTTTTTTTTAAATTTGAGTTAAAAGAAACGTAGATATAAGAAGAAACCTAACCAACCCTACCTAACCTAACCTAACTTGTCTTAACCTAACCTAAACTAACATAACTAAATCAATAATTTATGTTCTTAATATAATATAATAATAATACTTAAAATAAACCAATAGGAAACAACTTATTGAAAATATCGAAAATCACTCGGCCTATTAGGCCTTGCATAGTGTAGTGCTGTCGTGTACTGTTGTGGAGTAGTGGCATGGTGTAGTGGCGTGGTGTAGTGGTGTACTGGCGTGGTGTAGTGCCATGGTGTAGTGGTGTGGTGTCGTAGCCTGGGGTAGTGGCGTGGTGTTGTGGTGTAGTGGCATAGTTTAGTGGTGTGGTGTAGTAGTCTGGAGTTGTGACGTGGTATAGTGGCGTGGTATAGTGGCGTGGTGTAGTGGTGGGGTGTAGTTACCTGGTATAGTAGTCTGGTGTAGTGGCATGGTGTAGTAGTGTGGTGTAGTGGCGTGGTGAAGTAGCCTGGTGTGGTGGCAAGGTGTAGAGGTGTAGTGGCATGGAGTAGTGGCGTGGTGTAGTGGTGTGGTGTAGTAGCCTAGTATAGTAGTCTGGTGTAGTGGTGTGGTATAGCGGAGTGGTATAGTGGCGTGGTGTAGTGGCGTGGTATAGTAGCGTTCTGTAGTAGCGTTGTGTAGTTGCGTGTAGTGGCATGGTGTAGGGACGTGGTGTTGTGGTGTGGTGTAGTTGCCTGGTATAGTGATGTGGTGTAGTGGTGTAGTGGTGTGGTGTTGTTGTTGTAGTTGCGTCGTGTAGTGGTGTGGTGTAGTAGCTTTGTATAGTAGTCTGGTGTAGTGGTGTGGTGTAGTGGTGTGGTGTAGTTGCGTGGTGTAGTTGCGTGGTGTAGTAGTGTGGTGTAGTGGCGTGGTGTAGAAGTGAGGTGTAGTGGCAGGGTGTAGTGGTGTGGTGTAGTAGCCTTATATAGTGGCATGATGTAGTGTCATGGTGTAGTGGTGTGGTGTAGTGGCATGGTGTAGTGGCGTGGTTTAGTGGAGTGGTGTAGTGATGTGGTGTAGTGGTGATGTGTAGTAGCCTGGAATAGTGGTGTGGTGTTGTATAGTGGAGTGGTGTAGTGGTGTGGTGTTGTATAGTGGAGTGGTGTGTTGTATAGTGGAGTGGTGTAGTGGTGTGGTGTTGTATAGTGGAGTGGTGTAGTGGTGTGGTGTTGTATAGTGGAGTGGTGTAGTGGTGTGGTGTTGTATAGTGGTGTGGAGTTGTATAGTGGAGTGGTGTAGTGGTGTGGTGTTGTATAGTGGAGTGGTGTAGTGATGTGGTGTAGTGGCGTGGTGTTGTAGCCTGGTATAGTAGACTGGTGTAGTGGCATAGTGTAGTGCTGTGTAGTGGTGTGGTGTAGTGGTGAGGTGTAGTAGTGTGGTGTAGTGGTGTGGTGTAGTCGTGTGGTGTAGTAGCCTGGTGTAGTGGCGTGGTGTAGTGGCGTGGTGTAGTGGTGTGGTGTAAAGGTGTTATGTAGTGGCATGGTGTAGTGGTGTGGTGTAATGGCGTGGTGTAGTGGGGTGTAGTGGTGTGGTGTAGTTGTCTGGTATAGTAGTCTGGTGTAGAGGCATGGTGTAGTGGCTTGGTGTAGTGGCGTGGTGTAGTAGCCTGGTGTAGTGGCATGGTGAAGTGGTGTGTAGTGGCATGGTGTAGTGATGTGGTGTAGTAACCTAGTATAGTAGTCTGGTGTAGTGGTGTGGTATAGTGGAGTGGTATAATGGCAAGGTGTAGTGGCGTGGTATAGTAGGGTTGTGTAATGGTGTATAGTGGCATTGTGTAGTGGTGTGTAGTGGCATGGTGTAGTGACGTGGTGTAGTGGTGTGGTGTAGTAGCCTGTTATAGTGACGTGGTGTAGTGCTGTGGTGTTGTTGCGTGAAGTAGTGGTGTGGTGTAGTGGCGTCGTGCAGTGGTGTGGTGTAGTATCCTGGTATAGTAGTCTGGTGTAGTGGCGTGGTGTAGTGGTGTGGTGTAGTGGTGTGGTGTAGTGGTGTGGTGTAGTTGCGTAGTGTAGTGGTGTGGTGTAGTAGCATGGTGTACTAGTGTGGTGTAGTGGCATGGTGGTGTGTTGTAGTAGCCTGGTATATTGGCATGGTGTAGTTCTGTGGTGTAGTGGTGTGGTGTAGTGGTGTGGTGCAGTGGCATGGAGTAGTGGCATGGTTTAGTGGAGTGGCGTAGTGACATGGTGTAGTGGTGTTGTGCAGTAGCTTGGTATAGTGGTGTGGTGTAGTGGTGTGGTGTAGTGGCGTGTTGTAGTGGTTTGGTGTAGTGGTGTGGTGTTGTGGTGTGGTGTAGTAGCCTGGTATAGTAGTCTGGTGTAGTGGCATGGTGTAGTGCCATGGTGTTGTGGTGTAGTGGTGTGGTATAGCGGTGTGGTGAAGTGGTGTGGTGTAGTGGCATTGTGTAGTGGCATGGTGTAGTGGTGTGGTGTAGTGGTGTGGTGTAGTAGCCTGGTATAGTAGTATGGTGTAGTGGCGAGGTGTGGTGTAGTGGTGTGGTGTAGTGGCATGGTGTAGTGGTGTGATGTAGTGGTGTGGTGTTGTTGTGTGGTGTAGTGGTGTGGTGTAGTAGCCTGGTAAAGTGGCATGGTGTAGTGCCGTGGTGTAGTGGTGTGGTATAGTTGTGAGGTGTAGCCTGGTGTAGTGGAATGGTGTAGTGGCATAATGTAGTGGTGTGGTGTAGTAACCTGGTAAAGTAGTCTGGTGTAGTGGCGTGGTGTAGTGGTGTGGTGTAGTGGCATGGTGTAGTGGTGTGGTTTAGTGGTGTGGTGTGGTGTAATGGTGTGGTGTAGTTGCGTGGCGTAGTGGTGTGGTGTAGTGCCGTAATGTAGTGGTGTGGTGTAGTGGTGTGGTGTAGTGGTGTGGTGTAGTGGCATGGTGTAGTGGCATGGTGTAGTGCCGTGGTGTAGTTGTGTGGTGTAATCTGGTGTAGTGGCATGGTGTAGTGGCGTAGTGTAGTGGTGTGTTGTAGTATCCTGGTATATTAGTCTGTAGTGACGTGGTATAGTGGCGTGGTATAGTGGCGTGATATAGTGGTGTGGTATAGTGGTGTGGTGTAGTTGCCTGGTATAGTAGTCTGGTGTAGTGGCATGGTGTAGTGGCGTTGTGTAGTGGTGTGGTGTAGTGGCGTGGTGTAGTAGCCCGGTGTAGTGGCATGGTGTAGTGACGTGGTGTTGTGGCGTGGTTTAGTGGCATGGTGTAGTGGTGTGGTGTAGTAGCCTGGTATAGTTGTCTGGTGTAGTGGTGTGGTATTGCGGAGTGGTATAGTGGCGTGGTGTAGTGGCGTGGTATAGTAGCATTGTGTAGTGGCGTGTAGTGGCATGGTGTAGTGACGTGGTGTAGTGGTGTGGTGTAGTAGCCTGGTATAGTGACGTGGTGTAGTGCTGTGGTGTAGTGGCGTGGTGTAGTGGTGTGGTGTAGTGGTGTGGTGTAGTGGCGTCGTGTAGAGGTGTGGTGTAGTA